ATCCACATGGAAGATAATATAACAAAAAAGTGATGATGTGGAAAAAAATAATATAAAAAATAAAACTTAAAATTTTTTTTCTTTTTCCTTTTTTTCTTTTTTTTCTTTTTTCTTTCTCCTTCCCCTTTCCCTTTCTCTTTTCTTTCCCCTCGGAACCCAGCAGGTCTGGGTTCCTTCGAACCCACCCAGGCGTTGGGTTCCTTGGGTTCGCAAGGAACCCAAGCATACTAGGTTCGCGTCTGGGTTTGGTGGAACCCAGCACGCTTGGGTTCCTTGCGAACCCAACGCTTGGGTTCACAAGGAACCCAAGCGTGTTGGGTTCGCGTCTGCACTCAACCCAGCATGCCTGGGTTTGGTGGAACCCAGTACGCTTGGGTTCGGTTCCTTGCGAACCCAGGCGCTGGGTTCGCGCCTGGGTTCCCACAAACCCAGCACGCTTGGGTTCCTTGCGAACCCAGGTGCAAAAAATTTTTAAAAAAAAATTTTTGTTTTTGATTTTTGGATTTTGTTGTTTGATTGTGATGAAAAATTGATTGATGAAGATGAAGAAGGCAAGGCAAGGTAGTTGCTGGGTTACTGCAGGTGTTGGGTTCGATTTTTCAATTTCGAATGCTAGGTTTTTGCAGGTGCTTGGTTCGTTTATAGGTGATGAGTTCGAAATCGAACCCAGCAAGCGGTGGGTTTGAGCAGCCACTGAATTCTTGTAAGTGAGGTTCTGGGTTTCGTTTCGAACCCAGTAGCCGTTGGGTCAAATATCTATTGAGTTTAATCTGTTGATTTGTTGTGTTATCCTCGAATTTAATATTAGGAGTTAGGGTTTGCAAAAGTTAAAGGAAAGGGAGAGGAAGAAGAAAGGGAAAAAGGAAAAACAAACGAAGAAAAAAAAAAGGAATAACAAATTTTTTAAGATTTTTTTCTTGCCATCTCATTTTTTTGTCGCACTGTACATCCCAGGTGTCAAAATGTTTTTACATGTCATCATTTTCCCATCAAGTAACGGGACACATAGGTTGATATTTGACGGAAAGACCAAATCGAGGTAAAAATGGTAAACAGTAGGAACTAAATCAGGGATTTTTTTAGTTCAGGGACCAAATTGGGAGTCCATACAATAGTTCAAGGACCAAAAAGGGGTTTTAACCAAAAATAAACTAAAATACTTATGAACTGAACCAAACAGCCCTGAGAATCCCCGAGGAAGAACTGTAAGTAAATTTTTTTATTAACTTTTAACATAATATTATTTTATAAAACGAATTATATGTAATTTTTTTATAAAATTATTTAAAATTTTAAAAAAATAATATAAAATATATTTTAAAAATATTTAAGTGATTTCATGGGATGAACTGCATTCAATACACGTGTGAAACAGTTTTATGAACTTTTAATATTAAAATTTTAGTTTAATAGGGTTTTTGTTTGGTAAAATTAGTTTAATAGGCTGAATTATTTGTTGCACTACTTTTATGTCTAACTAAGCAATTTTGCCTGCATATATTTGCCACATCATATTAAAAAATAAAAAACTATAATTTTCTAAGTTAACGGGTGATAATAGTGAATTTTTAACAAGAGAGACCACAATGAAATTAAATTTGAAAATTTTAGAAATTAAATTAAAATTTTTTAAAAAAAATTAATTTAAAAATTTATATAATAATTAAAGAACCAAACTAAAAATTAAGTGAAATATTTTAAAAAAAGGTTAGAGCTTAATGATGTTATCTACTTGATATTGCAATTTGCTTTTCAAATTCACATACAATAAACTTGCAAAGCATTTTTCATGGTTTTTATATAATGCAACTGTTACATTTTTTTTATTTGGGGCCTGCACATTAAGTTTAATATCACATCATATTATACGAACAAAAGAATTTATGTCAGAGCAGATTCTTGGCTTCTTCTCTGCTTGCTCTTTTCTTCATTTTCAATTTTGCTTTGTAAGATGCCTTGATTCTTTGCTTCATTTCCAGTTTTGCTTTGTAAGATGCCTTACTTTCTTGTTCGTTTTCTTTATTTTCATTTTTGCTTTGCTTTGTAAGATGCCTTACATTTTTTGGTACTTGGCTTCTTTACCTCTTGGAGTGGACAAGAATCCAAGAGTACTTTGCTGCATTTTTAGATTTCCTTTTCTTGTCATAGAGGATTCGAATTTTGGTTGATTAACTATATAAACCTACCCATGGCTGCAAGTTTATACCCTTATCTTTGCCATTTTCATAAAATCACTGATTAAGATTTGTCAAAGAGGTCTCAAAAAAAGTAAGCAGCAACCAACCAGTGGATTACATTAAGTAATCGACACCAGGTATTAATTATTTTCCTTTTGACTAGAAATTCTGATAATTCATTCATCTTGCAAGAGTTGTAGAACATGCTTTCCTGACCTAATTACCCCAAAAATCAAATTTCAATATTTCATTACTTGAGTGTATGACAATATATTAACTCTCTAGATATCACAGCTCAAATCTAAATTTATCTTGAAAATAGGTTTGAATTATAAACTAAAAACTTTTGTATTTTTAAGTAGGAAATGTATAAATTCAGTTTAAAATTTTAGAGCTAAAAACTCAAGGCATTTTAGCTTTGACAATCTCTAAAATTTGTTTATTAAGGCAGCTCAAGAGACGCTCTATTATACTAAAGTTCAAGACTCTTTGAAGCTCATAAGTTGCTAAAATGTTCCTTTACGGTAGCTTTAAGTGTATACAAAAATCGTCACATACATCACAAGTACATGACACAAAATCAGCGGGGTAAGACAATGTTTTGGGCAAAGATCAAATTTATCTAACCAACGCACCTAGTTTTATAAATCAAATTTATCTAACCAACGGATCTAGTTTTATAAATAAATGCAACTCTCCAATTCCATAAACTGGTTCAATGCTTTCCTTTTCTCCAAAAATTACACTGGTTAAATTTTTTTTTTTTTTTTTTTTTGTCTCACCAAAGTTAAGATTAGTCTTGTACTTGAATTGCTAGATGCATCCTAGCAGGCGGTGCTGCGGTGCCTAGGTGTTGGGCCACGACCCAATTACAGCTAATTATTTTTCTGCAAAACAAATGTTAAAATAAAACATAAAATCTAAAAAATAAACTAAATGCCTAGCTCCACTACCTAATGCCTAACCACTGCTTAGCAAGTCATTCTTTAAGTCAACCCTTGTTTTCTTTATTCTTTATCTTTTAGTTTGAAAATGAAATGGAATTCATATAAATAAATTTGCATATGAATTTAATTCTCTTATTTAACAAAATTTTAGCCTCTCTGCTATAAAGTATATATTAAAGCAGAATTAATTTCATTTCTCTCCTGCAGATTGTACCATTTGTGGTTTTTCTATTCCATATTGTGCAACTTGCATTCTCAACCTTCTTCAAAACCTCCCAAATTGGTCGGAGAAACAATAGTTCCATGCCAGAAGGTATAATTTTTTTTTAACCCTTGTATATTTTCTTCACATTCATATATATATATATATATACATAAAGATTTATTTACATACAAATCTTATATATTATATATACGTAAATCTCAATAATTTATCTCTCTACTTTCAATTGTCTAGATTTATTCGTATTCCTTAAAGATAAGTATCTTTTCATCTAAAGAGTCATGAAAAATCTCAACTATTAAAAGTAAAAAGATAAATGGTCAAGATTTTATATAAATATATTATGTAATACTTATATGGAAATGGATTTTTACTATATATATAAGAGTAGTGCAAAGTTGATCCTTCTCCTAAAATTTTTTTTGAAGGATTTATCACAAGATCCATATTCTAATTAATATTTTTAAAAAGTGACTCTTTGATTAAAAGTTCTATTCATCTAGGCCATGTATATCAATTTTCATATTAATCTGACACTTATAACTATTTAACAAAAAAAACTCTATTTTTTGACATATATTTAATGATACTAAATTTTTTATAATTAATAAAATGGTTAAACCTATTAAAATAATTTCAAAATTAATATACATGATTTATATGAATAAAACATTTAATTTAATTATTGGTTTTTAAAAATATTAATTAGAATATGAGTTTTTAGACAAATCTTCTAAAAAACATTGAGGAGGACAATTTGCAAAACACTTTTACATATACATTAGTGTTTATCAACCAAATCTCAAAAAAATTGGAAGAAAAAACACTTCAAAATTAAAATTATAGCGTTTTATTAAAGCACCACAAGACGACCAAAGCAAACTCATTCATAATTTAAAATTAGGTATTTTAGTTCTTTTGAATTGAATTTTATTGAAATGATATAATTTTGATTTTTTTTTTTTGTAATTTTTTAGAGATTCAGTTGACAAACACTTTTTCCATATATATTATTTGCTTTCAATTTTCTCTGGATTTGTACTCTCCCTCTCCTCGAATGGATTAGATCATTCTTCGACTTTTTAACTAATTTGTTACATTTTGGTTTATATTTTACTAGTAATGAAGATCGTTGAAGAAGATAGGAAGTGTATTTAAGCTTGCAGTCTGTGAAGAAGCCTTCCGCCAAGCACATCCTTTTTTAATCATTTGGAGAAAGCACTAGACATTTAAGCAAGGTGCACTTTTTTTCTATCATTAACTGTTGTCTCACTCTTTGAATTTGCATGTTACGTTAACAATATACTCCTTCTATTTAGTTTTAATATATCTAATTTTTAATTTGAGGCATTAGATTTAATTATTTATTTTTTTGAGATCTCATTTAATATATTTGTTTTTATTTTAACCTTATTTTAAAGAAGATAATTACAACAAAAAATTTAGTAAAAAAGCTTATTTAAGTAGTAATTAAGTAAAAAGAAATATAAATTTTATCAATTAATTATTACATCTTTATTAGATAAAAAAGGTTATGTCTATTAAAATTAAGCA